AATTAATGCTTCCTTTCTGGTTTCGTCTAGTTTCTCAAACATTTCGATGAATAATGGATACGTAGTTTCTCATGTATTTTTGAACGAGGAATTGAATTCAATGTTAATTAAAATATGACGTTCGACACACGTGAGAATATTTAAACTTTTCAAGGTTTTGGTAATTTTTTACGTAATCGGAGAACCAGAAATAGAAAGATATTTATTTACTATTAAAGAAGTAGGCGATTTTATGGTTCGTATTATTTTTTATTTTTCAATTCAATTTAAAAATTAGAAAGGACAAAAGAAATAAGCGAGGTAGAAATTCCGAATAGTTTGCAAGTCCTTCTACAATTTAATACTGTACTTTCACGAGTTAATTAATTGGACCTACTTTTTTGAATTGCTTTTATAACTTAATGCCAGTGTTTAAACGAACTAAAAAATAAAATCTGGGTCAAGAAGAAAAATCTAACTTTTACAAAATTTCTTGTAGTGGATCATATGCCTCCTTTTTCTTGTAAAACTGTGAGGGAACTGTTAATTTTTCAGTTGTAAAATTTCTATATTTCTGAATTTTTTAATTTCCAAATTTTCAAGTTGTTAAGTTTCTAAATTTTCAGATTTCTAAGTTTCTAAATCCCCAGACCTTCAAATTTCTCAATTCCCAATTCCCATAGACCTTCAAATTTCCAAATTTCCAAATCTCAATATCCAAATTCTTACATTTCCAAATCCCTAGATCCCCGAATTCCTAAATTTCCAAATACCAAAATCTCCAAATTCCTAAATTTCCAAATCCTTAAATCCCCAAATTCCAAATTCTTAAATCACCTAATCCCAAAATCCTCAAATTCCTAATCCACCTAATCCCAAAATCCCCAAATTCCTAAATTTTCAAATCCTTAAATCTCCAAACTCCCAAATCCCTAAATCCTTAAACCCCTAAATCCACAAATCTCTAAATCCCTAAATTCCCAAACCCCTAAATCCCTAAACTCCCAAACCCCTAAATCCCTGAATTCCTAAATTCCCAAAACCCTAAATCCCTAAATCCCTAAATCTCCAAATCCCAAAATCCCTAAATTTCCAAATTTACCTACTTCCCAATTCTCAAACCCCCAAATTTCCAAATTAAAAAATATAAAACATTTCTCTTGACTTTTCTGTTACCCATTTATAGCGATTTAACGTGACATTTGAAAACGTCCACGATATTTATACGTAACCTTTATGCACGTGCACGGTACGTGTATATTTATATTATGCGATCCCAATTCGTGTACATCTACAATTCCGATGTATTTTAAGGTTCACACAATGAGCTTTAAAGTAGAGCGTGTCTGTTGTCATTTTCGACTGAATATCCCTACTGCATATTTAGTACAGTATTAAACGTTACAGTCTTCCCTATGCACTAAAGAGATATTCACCTTCAAATAATTAAATTAAATCAAACGAAATTGAACTATGGAAATGAGGTAGCACCACATTACCGTATACTAACGTTATATCGCAATGTAACTGTATCAACAAAAAATTGTTCAAATTGGAAATATATGAAATTATTCAAATAATTTTACCAGTTGCACGGTCACTGATATGATTACTATGCAAAAGCTGGCATAAGTTCGCACAAGACTGTCATTATATCGAAACTATAATCTATTCAATTTTTCAATATTCGCTAATCATATATTAATCGTCCATAAATGAATAAAAATGAATTTTTATTTCAATAAGTTAAATTAATATGAATTAGACGTATTCTTCCTGGTGTTTTTCCCTGTAAGACATTAATATTCACAGACAGTGACACGTAGTTGACAGAAAAATTTTCCTACAGGAAAGTTCAGACCGACAAGCGGAAACGGATGTGTGTTTTGCGTAGCTGCTGCCACTTTCCTCGGGTGCGAACCGGGATAACCCAATTGCATGACCCGTAAAGGAGTTCTCCACCCTAGTCGTTGCTCCCGCATATGGGGTGACTCGAAGCCACCCCGAAATAGCCCAGCTAACAAGCATTCCAGAAAGTATCAATTTTAAACACACAGAAACTCGACTTTTGAACGTTAGATCCTTTCCAGTTAAGTATGCGCTCTTAATTATACTTTGGAGAAATATCAGTTACAAAAAGTCAATTAACGAGATAGACATAACACGTAACATTGACGCACAGAATTTAGATACATATGCAAATGAAGAATTAGATAATATAACTGTTGATTAAATAACATCAAGTAATCAGTACATAAACCGCATTCCTCCTTTTCTTACAAATAATTAATTAAAATCGATCAGTCTATTATATCGTCTATTATACCACGTACACAATAGCGTAATATCAGCAACAACGTTTCACCTGTTGGACCACGCCACTTTAATTTGAAAAGCACAATCTTTATCTTGTCTCTCATTAGCAGTCTCAGAAAATGATTAATTTATGCGCCGTCTCAAACGGCCACTTGGAACACCCTGTACGTAACCGATCCCTCGAGGGGGTTGAAACGAGGCCAACAACCCTCGAGGTCGTGACGATCTCTCGAGATACAGGGAGGGGGCTGAATTCGAGATATCGATCGACCTCGCTAGCTATTCTGGCTAAACTCCCACGCGGATGCGTAGCTACAGAACGAAAGTGGAATCAGGTCGCTTCTGCTGCAGGATGCGAACAGAAATATGCGAAATTCGATTCACCTTCGTGGGATTTGCTCTTTTTCCGGTTTACGTGACCGTGATATTGTATCGTGGTTCAAACTCACGAAACGTTAAAATGACTAAAATATTTTTGCTCAAGAAATTTATCAGTATGTATCTCACTTTATTAAAATGTATAATTATATCTGTTAATACTTTGACAGAAAAATAATCTATGGAGATTAAAGTAAGTATATTCGCTTTATTAAAATGCATAGTAAATGAATACTTCAAAAGAACAGAGATAAGGAAATTATCAAATTGGCAGTTGCGATCGGAGAAACGAAAGAAAATTACAACGAAACGAGGAATATCCTTGGTCGTCACGGAACAAGAAAATCGCACGAGTTATGGTTCTGGTGACTTTATGTAATTGCAATATTTAAATTGCCGCGGAGCGACGACATTGTGAGGACCTTCGATTGCATAATGTCCCGAGTTATGTATGGAATGACAGTGGATCGCGGTTTCCTTTTTGAGGCATCATCGCTAAATGCGCCAAGGGTAAAAGTTGTAGTAAAGATTGACAAACTTTTAATTGTTATTAAAAACAATTATCATAATAAAACGTATTTATAATTATAGAAAAAATATTTAATCGTTTCAAACTTAATTAACATTATCATATACGATTTTTCGTGAATCTGTCGTAAGAAAGCAATCGCGCGGGAAATTTGAATTGCGGTTGCGTAGTACAAAAGAAAAATTATTTATAAACTTCCACTTATATATTGAAATGTTTAGAACAACGAAAAAATGTAATTTATTGATACTATGCAAAATTATGAAAATAGTATGTGAATATCGATAAAAGGAAAGCAGTGGAAAATTAGCGGAAACCTCGATGATCATTTATAAGATATCGAATAAATTACCGCTGTCTTTAAATAGCTAATTGTAATGCTAAATCACGCTACACGAAAAAATCTGCTTTCGCTTGAATATTTCAATGAGCCGAATCATTTATTTTCTAATCAAGGTGACATTCGAGCGAGAACGATCAAGATACATTTAAAAGTACTTCGAAAAGAAATACACGGAAAATTGACTCCGTTTCACAGTGTTTTGCTTATGGTGTTCACACTAGACCGACAAAATGTTTGCAGGCGACACGCATGAGTGAAACGGTCAGGAATGCAACGAAGCGTTAGCAGGATTGAGAAATTAAAATTCCGTCTCTGGAAGTCACCGTCACACGACTGGTGTAACGGGTTTCCAACGAGTACATACTTTACACAAACAAACACTGCAACATCGAAATGTGACCTCGTTTATCGCGTATCGAAGATATCTTTAAAAAAAGTCAACTATCCTCCGTTTCTCGATCATAAAAATTTCAGCTTGGAATTTTCAATTTTCAGAAGAGACTCGCTGTAAACAGGTTTTCGTGTCTGCAGTGTTTTGATCGTCGGCACCCAACGGTCAAAACTTCGGTCGATGCACGGTTTTTAAGGTGTGTTTACACTGGGCGAATACACTGCAAATATGCTCGTTCGTCGAATCGATTTAATGTATTTCAATTTCATGAGATTCTACTGAACGCGATTCAATTTAACGTGATTTATTTCGATGCGATTTGGCGCGTTCTCGATTCGACGTGATTCGATTCCAAACAATTTACTTTCACGCGTTTGAATTCGACTTCGGCATGTTCTAATTAAAATTAACTCATATGAATTATTTTTTATAATATTCTAAGGTAAGATATTTAGTTGTACATTTAATAAATAAATAATGAAAAAAATCTTTACAACTGCAAGAGGCATACGAAACTGTTGCACATACGCAGTATTAACGAGTTAATTTGATGTGACTTGTGACCGAGCATGTAGTTCGATCGTTTATATTTAACGAGACGGAATGAATGTTTTTAATGTTGGTCATTCGTTCTAAACGCACCCTTAGGGCCGTTGGGGCGTCAGAAGGAAGAACCAATCTGAAGTTAGTTGCACGACTCAACGACGCGCCGTAGAGAGTATTGATTCCCACGCTACCTTCATTTATCCCCTTCAAAAAAGCAAAAATTCCTCGACCGCTCTCGCGAACGTCACCTTCTTACTCCGTGTGTTTACCAAACAATTATGGTCTAACGAAAAAGTCGATCTTCCCGCTTCGATATACTTTCTTGAAAGAAAAACACGGTGAAAGCATGAACACGAGAACGAAGAGAACGAACACCGAGAACCAAAGAAATACACGTTCTATTGGAAATCACTTTTGTACCGTTCACATTCCTCGACAAAACTCATACATCATTCGCGGACACATGCATTACCGTAACCAACGTTTGCGACAAGTTATGTACAAGTTTTTCAACTTACATTTCGCTGGGATCTTCGAAAACTGGACGACAGACGAAAGCACAAATAGAGCGGACGCACTGTCTTTCACTGGTTTTCGAACTTTCGAAGTGTCGAATTTCAACGAGAAATACGGTTTACAGGTTTCGTTGTTCGATTCGAATAGAAATTCAAAACAAACCGCTACGAGGTCTCGAGCCTTACTGAAAGTACCCGCGGCTGCGCGCGGTCTTTTTATAACCGCGGTGTGGGTTGGGCAGCGTGGCGGTCGA